GGCCCCTGACGGGATTCGAACCCACGACCTTACGGTTGCGAGTCCGAGAGCCTAACCACTAGGCCACCGACGCCACTTGTTAAGGTCTTTGCCTTTGCTGGAAGAAGACGCAAGTTTGATTCCCCAGTGGGGAAGTTTTCAAAAATATTATCTCCGTCCATCTATTGAGATACCGTTCTATCTTAGCCCGGGTGTCCCCGAAAGGCAGGGTCGAAGCAGCTCTTTTCGAAAATGATTAATATACCCTAGTGACGGGCCGTCGACTTTAACGCTAGCAGAATGTCGGCCAGCGCTCTGGTGTGATAAACATGCCCCTTCCCGTTAATTTCCGTGTTGTCTTTACCTTATCCAGTTCTTGGGAAATATAGCCGTTATTTGTGCTAGCTTGTCGTAGAATTCAACGTAAATGCATAATACAGTTTTTGTTCTCACGTCTTTAGGTCACTCTGTGGGCAAGTCTGTTTTCTTCTTTTCTAATGTATGTCTATTGTGTAGAAACATACGTGAGTTACTATACCCATGTGTCTATGCATTTGTGTGTACGTTTGTTTGTTTGTATATCTGTCAGTGTTTGTGCGTGGGAATATGGGGGGGGGGGGGATGCGTTCATGAACCTTTGTTGGGCTATTTGTACTATGTGTATGCATGGGGTTTTGTTTTGTGTCCATGTGTCTGTCAGCGTCTGTTTCTGAGTATGACTGTGTGTGCCTGAATAGGTATGTCTGTGAATATGTATTCCTGTGTCTCTCTTTTTGTCTGTTCCTGAGTCTTCGAGCAGGTTTAATTTTTTAAATTCTGAGTTCTTAGCGCCCGCCTGTGGTGTATTTACAACAACAAGCCTTTTTATCTTTGCCATTTGTTCTTTTATCTTGCAGTGTCAGCGCACGAGACGCCCTATTTAATTTTAGGAACCGGAAATCAGATTGTGAAGCGGAACATCCTGGACGTAATCCAGTACGCTACGGAGTATTCGGATGAGCTCTACTCCAACCCAGACCCTAACGAGTACATACGAGGTGAGTGAGGCTATGAGTCCTTGTACGTACGAGGTCATGAAGGCTTGAATCATTTCTCCCATCTCATGCATTATTGCATCATGTTATAGGTAGCGATCGGGCTTCATCATACACTTAAACGTTCCAGACGTTTCGACTCTGTCAGTGAGTTTGCCCATAACTTATGAATGAGATTTCGTCCCATTTTACAAGTGAACATCATTTTGGAAATACATAATTAGAAAAGGCTCTCATCGCCTGCAAAAATGGTCCGGTGACAACGAGCATGGCGAATTGCATTCTTCAATAATGTTTTTTTTCTTCTAAAAAGCAATTCTTGCGGGTCTTCAATAGCCTAGCCTGTCCATTTCTGTTTAATTATTATGTGCATCATCATTCTCCTATTCATAGCTATTCTTCTCTCAACTGTTCTCTGGTTCATGACGTCTTAGAGAGTTAGTTGTGTGATTTGACGCAAATCAGCGGTTTACCACTTTCAACAGCTCTACCTATAATAGCTATTGCCACGAAAAAGTATCCCCCCCCCCCTCTTTCCATTGTCAATTTCAAATCTTACGTCTTGATTAAGATGATGATATATTTTTACCACCAGCCCCGGCCACTGGAACAGCATTAAGTCTTAGTCCTTTCCGCTTCCAAACTCTAATGAACGTGTTAGAACAACTGTATATGTAGTATTAAATGTGGCGTCGGTGGTCTGGTGGTTAGGCTACCGGACTCGTAATCATGAGGTTGCGGGTTCGGGGGTTCGAGCCGCGGGCCCGACGTTGTGTCCTTGGGAAAGGCACTTGGCACGAATTTTCCTCTCTTCACCCAGGAGGGAATGGGTACCCAGCCAAAGGCAGCGAAAGATCTTGTCAGTATGTTAGTGTTTTTTTGTGCCGATAAATGGCTGTTTGCACTGTATGCTTCCCAGGAAGTTGAGGTTGTTTCAGAATGCTCTCAGGTCTGCTGGGGTAATAGTATCGATTTTGAAGGGCATAGAGCTTGCTGTTGAGCGGGAACTTGCGTTGTACAAATGCTATCTTTTATTACTATTATTATTATTATTATTATTATCATTGCTGGGCCTGGCATATCGCCTCGTTTTGTTCCCCGTGAACGCATTAATTAAAGTCTTGTAAATGTTCACTTTTTGATTTAACAGCTTAAAAAAAAGAAAAAAATGTGTCCGATAATCTCTTAATGTAATAAGTCTCTTCGTCAGCTGGTTCTTAACGAATTGGATCAAAGGTGATACACTAAACCGCTAGATCTACTTGCCTAGACAAGTAATCTAAAGCCATAGATATACTCAGAGTCCGTTCATCGTTTTTCCTCTGCCTTTCATCTTGCATTAATGCAGCATCAAAGTCTATTTCTCTTCTCCAATACAATTTCTTCAATTGGCTTCCTACAGAAAGAGTTAGCGACGAATTGACCATGGCATCACCCCAGCCCCCTCATTCTACCTACCATCCACGGCCATTGATTCAAAGTCATCATTAAAATGTCTCTTTGACTTTCCCTAACTATATTCCTCTTCTTCGAAACGTGCTGCAGGAAAAGTGGTATTTGAGCTTAAAGGGGGAAGTGTCAAAGGTATAGTAAGTCACCAACGGTTGCCACTGCATTTTGATGTTGTCTTGGCGTCTTGAAGTTTTTTGCTGGATCTTATAATTTGTCTGAATGTCCATGGCAGTGACAGAACTAAATAATCACAATAATACAATTACCTTCTCTGAGATATCTCAATGCTTTCCCTTGATTTACTTTATCCAGTTCATTTTATTTAACGTGCCACTAATTCACGTTTTGAGTTGTTTGTCATACTAGATCTGAACTTCTGTTTGTTTCTTTTCCTTGTGTAAAAAATTTGGTTGTTATTTTTGTAAAATAAGTGTCTTCATTTCTGCGATTGTTTCCATCTGTTGGCCTTTCATATGTAGTTTCGATGTTGTTTCCTTTTTCTTTTTGTCTTGATTCGAGATGTGTGAATATTTTCTCTTTCTAGTTTGATTCGTCATTTTATTGTGGAAATCTTTTTATTTTAATGTACGCATTAACCTTCACTTATATATTATAGTAACGATGAATCATTAAGTATAGGAATGTGGAAAACATTTATTTTTTACTGCAAGAAATTATTTCTCCGTAATAGATGTCTTTTGCCGTTGATACGTTCTCAACATTGTCAGGCACGTCCTTCTGTAAAGAAACGCACAGTTCTCCTCTATTTGGAATATGAACTTGAAATTTGCTTTAAAATGTACCCTCCACGTAATTCATTGGTTAGTATCTGTGTTACTCATTCTGTGAATCTCGAATATAAGAGAATGTATTGTTTGATTCTGCTGTCTAGTTCTTGTATGTATATTTGTTTTTCCTTTTATGTTTCCGTGTGCAGGGTATGTGTCATGATGCATGACTGATGTGTCTTAAGTTTGTGAAAACTCTTCCAACATCTTTAGGATATAACGACTAAACTGTTGGCTACTAATAATTATTTTCTGATGCTAATGCAAGTGTTAGTAAGTACGACTACGACGACGAGAAAATCATGATGATGATGATGTTGATGATGATGATGATGATGATGATGATGATGATGATGATGATGATGATGATG